ACTTACACGCGTCATGTAAGTTGCTGCACACGCTAGTGCTAGTGGCTGGAAATCTAAAGCCTTCGCAACTCGTAAAATGCACTCTTTATTTGAAGCAACACCCGATATTTCAGAAAGTGTTTTTACCGCTTCATCAGGTTTCATACCGCGACTAAGGGATAAATGGTAAGTGTACGAATTATTGGCACCAATGGATTGACTGTCTTGTGTGGTAAAAAGTATCTGACCATTGCCCTCCGTCTTCTCTCCCGCCTTTGGCAAGAATCTGAAGACTGATTTAACGTCTGTGACGTTATCCAAGATCAAGAGCCATGAAGAATACATTCGCAGTTTGGGAGCTACAAGAGTTTTAAGATGAATAAGTTTGTCTTCCGGAGAAAGATCTTTTGATGTTCCAATAATCGTAGTAGATTTCTCATCRCAGTTTAAAGTAATTGCAAATTCAATATATGATTGTATTAATGTGTCTGTACTGGATGCGTTAAGGGCGAACACAAATTTTACTTGATCTGTGGCGTCATCGGGAACATCATCGAAAACCTTCTCACCTATCTGTCTTGCTATTTCACTTTTGCCACAGCCAGGATTCCCAGACAGATAAACAACAGTTATTTCATTTATTTTTGTGCTTCTCAACTCTTTCATCTTTTGTAGTATCACATCCACTTCGCTTGAACGGTCGATAACTTCGTGGGATGGTTTGGGTGGCAAAACACAAAACGATCGTGGTTCCTCGTTACGTTTTTTCTCCTTTTCTAACTGTTGCTGAGTGAGACGTAGTTCCTCTGTAGGAAATGTTTTCTGGTTTTTGATTGCCTCTATATCAGCAGTGTCTAGTTTTAGGGCGATAAAAGCATCTATTACCTTTTGGATAGAGGTTTCAAAGTCCATTTCTCTTAACTTTCCATCAGACAAATGAGCAAAGACTTTATTACGGAACCGACGTAAATCATCCACGGCTTTCTTAACAACGGGATCGAGACCCTTGCCAATACTATCTGAATAGAGAATGGCAACAAAAAGACTGGTACAGTCCCATTCAAGTCTATTGCCATTTCTCAAAATTAAAAGTTCTCGTGAATTTCTCTTACAACTTTTCGAAGATTCCATGCTGTACAAATCAATGCCATTCTTAGCCGTATCTTGCCACGGGCCGTGTGTCGCCTGGTAATGAGTGTCCCATAATAGCTTGAAGACTACTCGTAGTCCTTCAGCAATGATTCGAGTGGTGACGTTGCAAATCCTGAAATAGTTAAGTTCTTCTGTGGAATACTCGTGTGCTGCGGCCATCTGCAATAACAATAGAATCCCAGTCAACAAATAACCAAGTACGAATCAACCAAGGACAATTTATGAGAATTTCTTTTTATAATCACTCCATTGTAGTTTCTTCTTAAATATCATAATTGTATACATACATTAAATATATCAACTGAACAAATGCACTTACATTTAGACAAATTTAAAACAATCG